GACAGCGCAATAAACATGTCAAGAAATTAGAGAAAATGCAAAGGTTTGCAACAAGGTTAGTTCCGGAGCTCAGGGAAATGTCCCACGAAGAAAGGTTGAGGGAAATCGGCCTGACGACGCTGGAGGACAGGAGGGTCAGGGGAGACATGATAACGACATACAAAATACTGCGTGGAAGAGATAAGGTGGACAGAGACAGGATGTTCCAGAGAGAGGACACAGAAACAAGGGGTCACAACTGGAAGCTGAAGACTCAGACGAGTCAAAGGGATGTTAGGAAGTACTTCTTCAGTCACAGAGTCGTCAGGAAGTGGAATAGTCGAGCAAGTGATGTAGTGGAGGCAGGAACCATACATAGCTTTAAGACGAGGTATGACAAAGCTCAGAGAGCAGGGAGAGAGAGGACCTAGCAGCAATCAGCGAAGAGGCGGGGCCAGGAGCTGAGTATCGACCCCTGCAACCACAATTAGGTGAGTACAATTAGGTGAGTACCTGTGTACGTGCACCGAGTCAGTCTCTCCCTCTCTCCTTCCCTCCCTCTCTTCCTCTCCCTTCCCCGTCTCTCTCTCTCTCTCTCTCTCTCTCTCTCTCTCTCTCTCTCTCTCTCTCTCTCTCTCTCTCTCTCTCTCCTCTCTCTCTCTCTCTCTCTCTCTCTCACAGTGAAGAGGTGGGGCCAGGAGCTATAGACTCGACCTCTTTAACCGCAATTAGTCGAGTACCACACACACATACACACACACACACACACACACACACACACACACACACACACACAACACACACACACACACACACACACACACACAGGAGCTCGGACTCGACCCCCGCAACCTCAACTAGGTGAGTACACACACACACTACAACAGGCCTAGGTTACCTGGTTGACCAGGCAAGCCCCAGACGACCCTGGCCCATGGCCGGGCTCCGAGAGTAGTCAAACTCTCGAAGCTCTTCAAAGGTATATCAGAGGTATATAATCGACATGTGCCTAGGACAGAATGGTAACTAACATACATATACATAAGTTTAGAACTTTTCATTAATAATAAAGGGAAAACGGTGACCCAGGAAGTGCCCTACTAATAACGTTATGCTTGTGAAATAGAAGGTAGGTGGGTTCAGTAGTTTGGAAATTTGAAGAATGTTTTAACCCTGTTTATCATTCAACACTAGATCAGTGAAACATAAATACAACACATAAGAAATAAAAGCTAATAGCATGAAAAAAATACTCTCACCGAATTACACTCACACAAAAAAAGGGAGGCCAATCTATCGACAAGTTCCTTTGACAACCGGTAACTACAGTGACAAATTTTATTTCTCTACAGTGCACAATTGACATACGATTGACATATATAAACTACTTTATAGAAAGTCTCTTATAATTATAAAAACTGCTAATTGTAAACACCACGAAGAAAGCGAACTAAGTGGTGGACAGAGTTAGAATGTGTTTCACAGTCAGCTGCATGACATTAGCTACAAAGAGGGAGCAGGAACACTTGCAAAACATAGGTAAGATGTGTGTGCCCAATCCTTTCTCCTCAGAGACCCGTCTCAAAGTGATGAATCCTATTGTTGGAGGAAAGTCAAACACCTACATTCTGCCAAACCATGGATAACCTGCTTCCTGTCTGTGGGGACCACCTGACTCGCCACTTCCCAACTCAAGTCACAGTAAGGCAATAGTCTTCAATAGTGAGAGCTCATAGTGGCAGCCTTCGAATGTGCATCATCCCTTTCATTTCCCAGAACACGAACATGGACCAGACACCGAAAGAACTCGCATACTCATTACGATTGCAACCAGATAGTATAAACATGTAAACAGTTCAATACCACTGTAACTTATATAGTTATCAAAACTGTGGCGCAGGCCCTGGACCTATTACGTACCTGTGTAATCTTTTGACTGCCTCCCACAGAATGGGTATGGGATGCATAATAGTATTTAACTAACTCAGTGTGCCCCTGGAAACAGGCTAACCACTACTGGCTCTTTTGTAACACAGGGCAGACAGAAGTATGCTAGGTCAGGGCAAACAACACACTAAGCCATCAAGATTGCGTAGAGCTCATAGTGAACACAGAGGACCTGTTTGGTGTGATCCCAATACTGTCTTCACCCATGATCACTGCAAAGCCAGTGCCACCCTCACTCTGACCTGTCCGGATAGACCTTTATTCACGAAGCATGAATGAAATTACATTTCAGGAAATTTGCAAGGGTCATAGCCATGGCTCATCACTAAGATAAACCTCAGGTTCATTCTCCTCTGCTCTAGGACTAGTCTCGCTGCTTACCTTTGGACTATCTTCAGTTTCTCAAAATGCTTTATCAAGTGGGGGGTTCCACGTTGGTGTTGCATACTCCAAGATGGGCCTGACATACTATGTTGAATATATGGTCATGTATGACTTGAGTTTCCTGAAAGCTATTCAGATTTGCCAGAGAAGCATTCACTGCAGAGGAGTTTCGTGCCTCTAGCGATATGCTTGGCACTATGTTCACCCTGTAATCTTTATTTCAGTTATATTCGCAGTCTCTACCCCCCCCCAAGTCTGTAATCAGTTTATGATCTTCGTACCACTCCACAATTTTCTTAACCCTGTATTTGCTGTGGTTGAATAGTGCTGTTAGTGTCCAAGTTCATTTGTAGCTTTTCGTTGTTGTCTTTGGTTTTTATTTGCATTAATTTTACGTCTGCAAATAGGGATACATCTGACTATTTCTTGATCCTTACAGATTCTCTCGCACATCTGTCTCCTGAGATACTATTTAATCTATTGTAGTGCATTCCTTGTTGTTCCTACCTGTTTCACAAGCTTTTTTTTTATCCCAATCTCTTATGAGGTACAATATCAAATGCTTTCTTGCAATCCAGTAATATATCATTTATCCATCTATCCTCCCTCCCTCTCCTGTCTCGCTTCTGTTACTTTGTCATAGTGGCTTTTGTGCCTGCTGTTTTACTCATACATCTACCTATTTAGCTACACAATCTGCATGGCTCAAAGAAATAAAACTATCATTAAAATCAGCAGGTTTGCGAGGAAAATTTGCCATCTCTAAACCCATGCTGCTTATTGCTTATGAAGGCACTTCTCTCCAAGTGCGCCAGTACTTTTGTTTGTTCTCCAATATCTTACATATTATATATGTTAGTAATACTGGTCTGTAATTTAATGCTTCTTGCCTGTCACTTTTTTCTTAAATACTGAGACTACGTTTGTCCTTTAAAGATCACTGACATTTGTCCCCTATCCAGTGACCTGTAGATTTTAGATAGTGGCTCAGGCAGCGCTTCTCCCTCTTTCAGAATGCATGGTGACATTTGTCGAGTGCCATTGTCTTTAATGTACCCAGCTTAAGGGAAGAAAAATTTCCCGTTTGCCTTGTGTGTATAATGGCCAAACCTGTTTGTGTAACTTCTGACTCTGGTGCTGCCCGTTTATGCTGAGAACACCTCTTTAAATTGTTTGTTCAACCTCTCACAGACTTCCTTGTCATTTCTCGCGAGTTTCTCCCATTTCTTCTTCAGTCCTGTTACCTGGTCTTTTACTATTGTCTTTTCCTTTGTGACTGCGAAGTAGTTTCGGTTTAGATTTGGCTTTTGCTGCTATGTCACTCAAATTGCCACACAGCTTCTTGCCTCACTCACTTTTGCTCTTCTACTCACCTATCTGTTTTCTTCAATTCTTGCCTATTTCTTTGTGGTTGGAATCTCCCACGATTAGTGGGATAGAGATAGAGATAGCAAGAAGTGCCATATGGGTACTTCTTGCTATCGCTGCTCTGGTGTCAACCATTGCTTTATCTTCATATCCCGTCTTGGTCATCTGCTGTTTGATGGCTGGTTGTAAAGCACTGCTTCTACTACTACTTCGGGTCGGCTAATCTTGATTGTGCCCACAATACAGTCACTTCATCACTCATTGCTTTACGACTCCACTGGTTCCTGATTAGCAGTGCAACTGCCTCTCCTCATTGCTTGATATCGTTCTACGAATATGGCATCTGTTATCATTTTGGTTAGTTTTGTCTCTGCGATTCTATAATACTTGGTGTTGCCTCTCCCGTCTGTTCTTTCAGTTCATCATTCTTGTATGATAATTCATCCGAATTTGTGTACTATACTTTGTTTTATTATGTTCTGGTTTGTAGTCACTACGCTTTCTGTTGGTTGCTCATCTGTAGATGGGTGGGAAGGGGAGGGTGAGGGGTTACTGTTATTGTGGAGGAAGTGGAGTTGGGCCTGCTAAGAGATGAGCAGGGGGAGAGCCTGTAACTGGCGACCCTTTTTTGGTGCTCCCTCAACTGTTCCTCCCCAATCTATGTATAACTGGTGATATCTTGTGCTCCTCAAGAATGGTCTGACTCAAGATCATGTTTGAAGCTACTTGTGACCCCGATCCTCTGAAGAATTTTCCGTCTTGAATTATTATTCTTATATACACTCAGTCAATATAATTTATGTTTTTGAAGATGTATTACCAGCCAGTGGCTTTATTAGTCTAATACCGAGAATAATCTAGAGACTGTGGAAGACTTAAAACGGCGATCAGTCCCTCAGCCCTGCTAGGAAGTTTTCAGTCCATCTGATGCAACATCTTGCAATCTCAGTACAGAAAATTCTACTATACTTTGCATGCCTAATCTGTTGGTATGACCTATTTCCACTAGTGGGCTCCATCCATTATGACGCCGTCATTGAACTGCTTCGCCTCTCCTGTCTCTTAGTATGCAAGTCATAATTCTTGTGCATCTTCCGGTACTTTAGATTCAACCAGCCTGATGGAATGAACACTTCCTAATAAGGCTGAAGGATTAATCAATTCAGATTACTAAAGCATGTCTTCCACTGCCTCCAGGATTATTCTCTAATGGATTAATAATGCCACTGGAGGGTAAAATGTCTCCACAATAAAGATACCCAGATGTTACACTTGTATCTTATAATCATGCTCCTTTTTCTCTCGTGTCCTTTCTGACTTACAATCATCAGTGACCTGCTTCTCTTTCTCCCAATGTCTTTCCAGATTTCTTTTATCTGTTGTCACTAGTTCCCTTGCTTTTCTTATCACCTCCTGAGTATCTCTGCTAATTACTTTTCTCCTTTGTGCCTTCTTGATTGCTTGTAGTTTCTCCATTATTGCTGCCCCTTCTACCTTTCACCTCATTTTCTCCATAGTTTTCAGTATTTTTTTTCATTTTCTCTTCCACTCTTTGAGCTCTTCAGCCATAATTGCCCCTGTCTCCTTTTCCATGCTATCTTCTTGTTTGTTACTCATTTCCAGAGTTTCCTCCTTGAGAATATTTAACTTTCCCACTCTTCATTTATTTTGCTCTTCAGATTTTAGATTTTGCCACCGAAGTGGCTAGTTTATTGTGCACCCCATGTCCATCCTGTGGACGGTAGCGCGAGAGCATATGGATACACAAAAGGCCTAGGAACTAGGCCCCAAAGGGTTAACAGGAATACATATGGATTTATATCTACATATCTATAGTTCACTTATCTGTTACAAGCAAATTTAGGAAATTTGCTTAATATATCTGGTATCTTATTTTCATTAACATGTCACATAGGTTATTATACTGTCTGTCTCTGTATTCCTCAATAAGTGGACAATTAAGCACATAGTGTTCAAGAGAGTGACCATATGCCTGATCACATAATTTACATTTAGTTTGATCATCATCTGTGTGTCTCCCAAACTGCCAGAAGTACTTGTAACCAAGCCTAAGCCTGGCCACTACAACATCAGTCAGTCTGTTCACATTGCAAGTTGCTCCATAAACATACTTATCTACGTTCATGTTATCATAGTCGGTTATAGATCTACTCAGGCTTCTAACTGCATTCCTATAACAATCATTTTCATTATTTACTTCTCTCCTAATATTATTCCCTAATGCTAGACACAGTTATACCAAAGTTATATTCTACATTCTCCTTCTCGATACTCTTCTTGGCTAACATATCAACTTTATCATGAAGGAGTAATCCAATGTGTGATGGGATCCATAGCAATTGTACATTAATTCCTTTGTCCCTAATTTTTGAGTATCTATACCTAGCTTCCCCAATGAGCATGTTGTTGGAGTCATTATATGAGCCAAGAGCCTTCAATGATGACATAGAATCAGTAATGATGATAGAGTCAAGCTCAGTGTCATAGGTTAGCTTTAGCGCCATTAGGATTGCAAACAATTCAGTTTGCAGTGTAGACGCCCAGTTGTTAATTCTTATGCCTAACTCAACAAATTTATTATCATTCTTAACTAGGGAGGTGGCAACAAGAGCAGATGCAGCCCTGCCAGAAGACTCCTGTTTAGATCCATCAGTGTATATAACTTGTGATAACTTGTTACTACCAGCTAGGTGAGAAATTTCTTCTTGAGCAGTTGCTCTAACAAGAGATTTAAGGAAGGGATTACTAGCAATGAGCTTCTTGGGAGAGACTTGTAGGTATGTGATATTAAATGAACACATCTTCCATGGAGGGGTGAAATGCTCTTGTTGCCTACAGTGATACAGTTCATGCAGGTTATAAAACTTAATGCAATTGCACGTTTTCACAATCCATTTAGATCTGTGTGTATTTACCTCTAGACACTTGGTAAGATTCACTGTGACAGTGTCTGGTTCGTTTCTCAGCATTCTAATACCGAGTACAGTGTTAATTTCAACAATCCTATCACTGATACTAGAAATACCAAGCTCCTTCCTCATGTTAAGAACTTTTGTAGATCTGGGACAGCCAAGAATAATCCTGAGAGCTTCATTTTGCATTAACTCCAAGGGTCGGAGAGAACTTTCTCTAGCTAATATCAACATGGGAGCAGCATAATCAATTAAGGACCTAACATAGGCTATGTACATCATTCTCACGATTCTCACATTTGCACCATAGTTGGGATTGTAGCCAGCAACAGCTTTGAGAGCATTTAGCCTAGCTTTACATTTCTTGTTTAGTTGTGGTATAGTGGATTTGTTAAAGGGTACATCTACACCAAGATATCTGTAAGTTTTAACGTAGCTAATGATTTCACCCTGCAAATAGATGGGTGGGGGATGTCGTTTGCTTGTTAATATCTTAGTTTTAGAGGAAGATATTATGAGGCCTAGTCGATTACAAATTGCTTGAACTTCATTAAGAATGGTATTCATCTTCTTATGCCCTGTTGTATGGATCATGATATCATCAGCATAGCTTATAGCTATATGTTTAGGTGAGGCAGGTAGAGCATTTAGGAGAGCATTAATCAGAATATTAAATAGCATGGGACTAAGAACTCCTCCCTGCGGTGTACCTAAAGACATTCTTTTGCTCTTCAGAACAGTTATTATAATATTTAACTATAACCATTCACTTTCATCTCTTTTCTCTCCTTCCCCACATTTTTTATTGCACTTCTGATTTAACATTTTCTTTTCCTCTAGGTTCAACATATCCAAGTGAAAATGGTCTTCCAGTGATTTTAGCCTATCCATGTGATGGAGAGGCTATCGATTCCACTATCCATCAGTCGCATGTACAAGGTCTTCCTCTGATTTCAACCTCTCCAGATGGAGAGACCGTTCGTTGCTGCATTTGGTCGACACTCGTATCCTTTAGCTGCACAGGAATTTTCAACTTTTCCTCCATCATTAACCCCCCTCAGCTTGATGTATTTCTCCGTTTACCCCCTTCCATACAGAAATTTATTGCCATCATAAAGGGACAGAAAAACAAGGTCAGAAAAGAATAAATTATTCAGTTTTTTCACAAAAAATAGCAATATACATTCGTATCACCAAAAAATAAAACATTCTTTCCTAAACAGTTGTACATTATCAGGTACATCAAATATTTACCCCTTGCCATGTATTTTTTACCCATAAAGGGTTAATTTACCTCTGGTTGAGAATCACTGGCTCTAGCAGATTAGATATAGCAGTTCGGCACGGGTGCATGTACTTGTGTGTGTTGGCTCACCTGTATGTGATTGCAGGGGTCGGGTCATAGCTCCTCTGTGTGGGTGTACTCACCTATTTGTGATTACAGGGGTTGAGTCATAGCTCCTGGCCCTGTCTCTTTGCTAGTTGCTACTAGGTCCACTCTCCCTGCTCCAAGAGCTTTATCATTGTGTATGTGTGTGTGTTTGCATGATGGTTTCGCCTTTTACTAAATCTTTGCATAATATACCATTTAAAGTTGACATAGCTACTGAACTCATAGTGGAATGCTCGACAATATCCTTATCTCCTTGATGAAGTCTCCAAGCTCAGGTAATTTCATTACCTTTTTAAAAAAAATCATCCTGTGTGAAGGAGTATGATAGGCAAACTATTGTATGTAATGGGTATACTGTATTAGGTAAACATAGTTCTTGCACTAATCTTGTACTAAACAGCTCTATTACACCCATTCAGCTGTTTGCACAATGTATTTTATTACCCCCTCCCCCTCAAAGGAGGTTTCTTTATGTCGGTGAGGGGCTCTTGGTCAAGAAATGGGACTTAACCTCTTCTTCTTTGGTCTGAACCTTAAGGCCCTTTCCTGCTTGAAGAAGAATCTAAAGGCATTAACTCTCTGGCAGACTTGGAGTGTAAAGAATTTTGTCCAAAAAGGACTTTGAAACATAAAGCATAAGGGGAGGAATTGCCTAGTTGGTTGTTTCTTAGAAGCGTGAGAAGAAACTGAGATAGGGTCATCAGTGGCAGGCCAAAGTTGTTGGACGCGAGGTTAGAGGTGGGCCAACCCGAGTTGCGCTTACGAATCAGTGCACTGTAGGTAATGTAGGAAGAGAAGCCGGGATCGTAGTCAAGCTGCGCAGAGGTCAGATGTATCTAAAGGGTAGGTTGGAACCGTAGTACTGGAGGATGGTAATGAAATGAGACCGAAACGTTACTCAGAGAAGGTACCGGGTTGGAAGAGGTCCGAAGAATGGTCCAAAGGCATGCCAGGTTCTGTATTGGGTGCTGAAGAAAAAGGGTCTGGGAAGAGGAAGGCCATAGGTTTGGGTCTCCATGATAAGTTTCCCCTTTTTTAATTTATTTAAAAAATGGAGAAAAAAAGGAGGAAGGAGAACATGGAGAGATAGCTCTCAGGAGGAATGAAAGGGATTGTATATCCCCCTCCACTCTCAAGAGGGCCCTTAGTGCAGCAGGCAGTGCAGACGCAGTGTGGAACCCATGCCCTACCCTACCCTTCATGCCGGTAAACCAGCAATCTAGGATAGCAACATCACATCCGCCGAGCCACCTTGGCGGACAAAAGAAAAAGAGAGGGTGGTCAAAACTCACCACAAGGCATACCTTCTTCAGCCACCACCTCCCGGAACCAACAGGCAGCCCCCAGTGATGCACCTGTCACCCGAAGGACATCATAAGCCAACCCCCGGAACTCTAGAGGGGGATCGGGACATACCCAGATGATCCAGATTCCAAGGACCTCAATGAAATGGGATGGACAATGACACCCTTTCTCGTGAAATCATAATGACACGATTGCAAACAAACCACGGTACGGGCAGGGATTGAACTCGCAGCTAGTGGCAGATGTGCTGGTCTGGAGTTTTATGACTCGCTAGCCACGAGTTCAATCTGCCTGTACTGTGGTTTGACACCCTGTTCCCAACTTAGGAGCTAGAATTTCAGAGGGGAAGACCCCAAAGACCAAAAGCAGGAAAGGATAGAGAGGGGAAGGATATGAAGGCTGGGATAGGGAAGGGAGGAATGGGGAGTAATTAGGTAAGGAAGGGAGGAGTGAGGGGTAATTAGGTTTGGTCGGAGGAAGACCGAAAGGTAAAATTCCTTATACCAAAAGCCTCTTCACCACAGCAAGGAGGCCCTTCCCCTTGAAGAGGTTATGGTAGAGGAGGCTGGATTAAGCTTATGGAGTATGGAGACAACTTTTTCGGATTGCACAGCAACCGAAACAGTTATAACTTCAAAAAAGATTTTCCTTGTGGTAGTCTTAACACGAATTTCAAAAACATACCGAAACTGTGGTAAATATCTTCATTTAATGTCCGAACATCATCATTACAATATATTATTTTTTATTAAAACATCAGTCATTTTCCACCAAGGCAGGGTGGCCCAAAAAAAAGAAAAAACTTCCATCGTTCACTCCATCATTGTCTTGCCAGAGGCATGCTT